TCGTCGATTCAAGGATTGTAAAATATTAAACGTAAACAAAGGCAGCATATCGAAATTTTTAAATTTGAGAATCGACGATCATTTTACAAATAGAGTGAACTGCTAAATAAACTTCACTTCACTTTCAGCAATCTATAAAATGATCTTACCTTGTATAAAAAGCATGAAAAGTAAAACAATATATCTTCAAAGTTTCAAACAGAACGGTTGCTGATGTTTACATCCAGACCACAGCCACAGGGCACCCCAAGAGACAAACACAAACGACGACCAACCCAGATTTTTAAAATTATATTGCAAATTATTCCTACCTTTCCTACGAAATTGAAAAACGGAATTGGACATTTCAATTTTCCCTTTGCGTTTTCCATTAAATTGGAAAATGGCATTCCGACTTACCTTTTCATTTTCTGTTAAATTTCAATACGGGGCAGGTTTATAAACTGAGGAAACTGAGGATTTAATAGAGTATACCAGTGGGGTATACTGTAAATGCCCTCTGAAAAATAACTTGGTGCATATAGTATTACATTAGTATTTAAGGTTGAGAATGGGGTTCATTGCTAGGATTAAGGTTGGTTAAAATTATGATTAAAATTTGGTTATGATTATAGGTCAGGAGTAGTGTGACGGTTTTGGGGTACAGGTCAGGAGTAAGTAACCCATTGACTTTAGAAGTTACTGTAAAGCTGGTATTAGCCAGAATTTTGCATGCAGAGCGGAATTTTCCTTTGTGTTTTCCAATTAGTTTCACCCGAGAAATCACAGGACAAAGAAAAATATTTCCGCTCCGCGTGCAAAATCCACCTAATGGAAAACCGGCTTAATTAAGATAAAATTAATCCAAACGTTCGGTGGCCAATTAATGCAAACTTGTGAAAAATTGAATCAGGAAATTAGGCAGAGCATGCTTTAATTACACTATACCGTAAAATAATATACAGTAAATTCATTCAGGAGCAAGTTTTGCTGATGTTTCTTGTTCGTTTTTGTCTTGATGTTCTTCAAGCAAATTTCTTGTTAAAATTTCCACACTTGCATCATCCAGTTCTCTTTTTACTGCATCTTTATTTTCTCTTAATATATCTTCAATATTTCTAAACATAAACCACAAGATTCTTTAGGTCAATTGTGTTACACCAGGTGATTGCCTTTGCAATTTACAGGTTGCAGTAAGTTATAGATATCCAATGAGTTCAAAACGTTTTGTAACCTACAATGCAATTTCATGATTGGTGGCATACCAATATGAACAGAACAGCCAGTTTAACTTTCTTTGCAACTTAGAGTGTAATTTTTCACTTTGATACCATGCAGCTGTAAATTAGGGGCATTACACAATACAATATTGTTTGCAATACTGTCGCAATGGAAATATTTTTAGCTGTTTACTGACTGTCAACTATATCTGCCTGAAAAGATTGTCCCATATAATAATTGGCCTTGATGTACAGGTATAAGTGAAATCCAGATCCATCCGATTTATCCCTCAGGGGCCGGTTGTCAGAAACCCCCCGGCCTAGGTTAACCTAAAATTCAAAGCAAACTTTCCGACAGCTAGCTCATTTATAAATTTGGAAGTATTTCTTGTCTGGATCGATAGGAGAGTTTACTTCTCTGAAGTTTTGAAATAAACAGATACAGTGCAGAAATTACACAAACCAAAACAGTGGGTTAAATTTTAGGGTTTAAGTGCTAACCCACCTTTGAATAACCGACCCCTGGTCATTTGACTCAAGATGAGCAGAGCTAGCATGAACAGGAATGTACCCATTCTAGTGCTATATAAATTGGCTCTTGGTTGTTTTCGGACTACTGTATCACTGGCCCAGGGCATGTCATTTGATACTGCTGGGGCACTTGAGTAATAAATAATTTTGCAAATCAAATATTACAGCCAGGATCAGGGACATAGCCAGCGGGGGGGGGGGGGGGGGGGAATTACCCCAGGCCTCCAGTTAAAGGGGCCCCAAAAGGTGTAATTAAAAAAATATTTGGAAGGTTTTTAATACAAGTAATGGTATGAAAAAATGTTTTAGACCCTAATTTTACTGGTATTTACAGCTAAGGTCTAATTGTCCATTCAGGGGCATGGTCCCTTTTTCTATTTATATTCGGGTTGTGAATAGGCAGTTGCAATAATGAAAAAATTGATATATCAATATCGAAAAAAAAAATCAATAATATCGACTATATCGAATTATGCAAATGAGAAAACGTAATTTAGTCAACTTGCATGTATATGCATCACAAACAGTTAAAAAGAAGTGCATGAAACCAGTCATGGTATGTCTCAAAGATTTATTAACAACGGTTTATCTGTCATCTCCAACTCAGCTTTTAATTTCAATTGCCCACGCACATAAATTCGCAATTGCCGCCATACACACGTTGTCTAAACTTCACCGATGAAAACAATAACTGCCGAATAATCGGAGATTAAGTTGTTTAGTTACAACTTTCGATATTTTCGATATGCGAAAAATTGAATATCGTTTGAAATATCGATATTTATCGAAAATATCGATATATCACAACCGCCTAGTTGTGAAACGCTACTTCATGCATTTTAGACATGTTTTATTATAATCTCATTCTGAAAGCCACAGATTTGGTATATTTTATGTCATACTGTAGATTCCAGTGTGGATAGTTTGTATCGCACGGTGGAGATATCAGCTGTGCAATTTTTATGCTTTCTATATATTTACTATTACATTTTCGACATCTCCGTCGCGCAATTTCCAAACTTTCCAATCAGGCATAGACTAAAACATTAAGAAGCACTTTTCAGAACCCTCATATAATGTATACCTGTTTTGATCACCGAACCATCCCAGATTATCTGCAATTAGATGATGACTAGAGCAGCTTGGGCATTTCACTATAACAACTCCTTTATTATATGCCAATTTGCTGAAAACTTTCGACGACCTTACATCACAGACTTTACATGTATAAACAATGGCTAATTTGCCTTCCAAAGTCTTGCCAGATACTGTTGTAAGATTTCTGTGTGTTAAAGTTCTTGTACTTTTAATCGTTTGACAAGTTAAAACACGGCTTGACCCAGCTAGTCGAGAAGCAGCGAAATAATAGAATAATGGCACCTTCACAGTCGCCATTTTGAATACGTTTGTCAACTATATTCTGCTTACATGAATTTTTGAATCCAACAACGAAGCCATTTCGAACCATTGAACCTTTGTGATTGAACTACACGCGTAAAAATCATCATGTTGTTGCAAGTTGTCAACAAGTTGCTGCAACTTGGTTCTGAACAGGATGCTGCAATATTGTGCGGCCCACTTGCAGCAATGTTGTCAACAATATTGTTCACGCTTGTTCGAACAATGTTGTTGACGCCTGATGAACGAACAAGGCCTGAACAACGTCGTTGGAACAACTGAGATCAACCTGATATCAATGATGTTTTATATTGTCAACAACTGCGAACAGTCTTGTTTTATCAATACGTAAACAACCTGATATCAATCGGTTTCGACGCTGTTATTCGTGGCCATTTTCCAGGGGGGGAGAGAAATTTAAAGGCACAGTTCAGCCTTTTGAATGATGGTTTTTAAGGCGCATTACAAGCCTTTGAATTGAAAAAACTAATTAGGAAAATCAATTAAGCACAATTCAAGATCAGTGATTTCAATGTTTTTAACATTTTTAAACATTTCTAATGTTTTTTAACATTGAGTTCACTGATTTTGAATTATGCTTAATTGATTTTCCTAGTTAGTTTTTTCAATTAAAAGTCTTGTAATGCGCCATAAAAACCATCACTCAGAAGGCTGAACTGTGCCTTTAAATAAGCACACAAACAGACAAACTTCGCTTCTTGATATGAAATTCAGTTTATTTTGAAATAAGAAAATACAGATTAGTCAACAAATACAAACTAAAGAGATAATTACAGTAAAATTACAAAGGTAAGATAATTATAAACTATTTTATATGCAATTAAGGTTTATAAAATACTAAGTACTATTTATAAATCTAAATACTTCATAGTGTTAAGTGTTTTGACTTTTGAGTTCATATTAAATACTGGTAAACAATGGCAGTATTTTAGCAAAAGGTAGTGCAACACTGCAAGCTCTATAATTATTATTTAGGTATTGTCAGGATGGAATTTGAATCTGTTGGAGCAAGTCTATCACAGAGATTTTATGAACCATGCATGCAATTTGTACATAATCATATATTTGCCCATTATCATAGGCGTACCGGGCGGGGGGGCGGGGGGGGCGGCAGCCCCCCCAGTTTTTTGGGCAGTCGGGCAATATTCGATGAACAGTCGGGCAATTTTGGTTTGCAATAAAAAAAAATGGGTCAAATTCTGTCAATTTTGTCTAAAATTAATTCAATTTTTTGGCAAATTTTGTTTTTTTCGAAAATTTATGTTATGCTCCGAAAAAATTGTTTGTCCGGAAAATTTTTTTGACCCCTAAAATGGTACACTGACCGAAATTTTTTTGGCGGTGTATTTTTCCGGAAAAATTTTTTTGGTCCTAGTCGGGCAGAATCCCGAAAAGTCGGGCAGAATCTCGAAAAGTCGGGCAATTTTCTTGCCGCCCCCCTAATTTTTTCCTTCCGGTACGCCCATGCCCATTATATTTATAAACTGACAGTTAATAATTAATCTTTCACAGACTAATAAAATCATCTGGGGCCGGTAGTTCAAAGGCTTACACGGGCTTCGAACAACCGGGCCCAGATGATTTTATTAGTATGTGAAAGAGTAATGGTATTAACTGTCAGTTTATAAATATAATGGGCAAATTAGAGAGAATATATATAATATACTAAAGTAGGCTCATTGCCAATTGATGGATTAGGTTAACATAATTAATAAACTATAGATGGTTTTGTTGCATCTCACTCGATGGAAATTTTAATGTTGGGTTTTGTTGATGGATAAATGGAGTACTTAATAATTTGAATTAAAATATGGACCTAACCAGGCCCTTATTGCCTGAATGGCATCTTATTCAAATAATCATTTAACTTGAAATAAAGGGATCTCCCTCAATTGATTTAGCCTAGCTGCAGAGGGCCAACCCCATTCCTGGATCACTTAACCTGAAATTCAGGCCCTACTTTCAATTTTCTGTCTGCATCCTTTTGAATGTTCAATATTTTTAACCTTACATTAATGATAATGATTATTCAATTAAAGTCAACAATTTCTTTTTCATCCTGAGAACATCCAGTTAAGTCAGTCCTCCTGAATTTGTTTGACACTCCTTAGCAGTGATATTTCTGTAGATTTGCCACTATTTTATTCCAGATATGAACTCACAGGCCCTATAAATTAAGATTAAATACATAGTGCCATTAATTTACAAAACGGACCTTTGCAATGTTTATGCATGTACTAGTCAATTGAAACCCCCAACCCCGGGACAGGGCGGGGAATTAACGGGGGAATGGCCGTGGATTAATTAACACGGTCTTAATGCAGATTTCCCCGGGGTACAGGGTAAATAACAAGTCAATTTATTAGCCAGGACAATTCCCAAGTCATGAAAATTTCCCAAGTCATGAAAATTTGCAAATTAGTGCTGGGGCCATAGGGACAGTAATTTTAACAGTCAAATTACAATATTCTCCCGGTAGCAGGGAAATGTCCAAAATTTAACATTGTCAAAATGTTAATTTCCCCTCCCTATCCCGGGGGTCGGGGTTTCAATTGACTAGTGCATTATGGTGGGATGCAGCCCCAATTGTATGTTTCCCACCATGTTTTACATGGCTCATGCCATATATAACTTCAGTACATGGTCATTTTTGGATCCATGCCTGGGACATATCATAATCTTGAATCTAATTTGGGTATTCAATCATGTTTAATAGACATATAGGCAGTCCACATATGGACTGGTCATGCTATGTCTAAGTGCATGGCTATTGCCAAAATAGCCTCCATCTACACAGACCACAACAAAGGTATAAAAATTACTTACCAAGTGATCACCCATTTTATATAATTTGTCTGACATATTCATAAATCTTTATTTTTATACTTAAGTTTACACTACAAAAAGGATAAAAATGAGACAATAATTACATTTGAGCATAATAATGGTCATAATTATCCCCCATAGCCATGTGATAAAATCATAGCTACCTCCTTCATACCTTCCATGACAATTATAGTCACCTGCTTAACCAGGAAATAAAAGGAAATACCTATAATCTATCCATCACATATTATATGCAGTAAATACATCATTCTTGGTGTGTAAACTGACCAAATATTTGGTTGACCTTGTTAAAACACAATAGGAATTGTTTATATATAGCAGTGATCAAAATTACAAACAACAATAGGGACGGAAGGGGCGAAGGACATATGATATGATTTTGACATATTCAAAGTTAAAAAGACTCTGACAGAAATTTAAAGTGCAATTGGAAAAATTTCAACAAGATTTTGAGAATTAAATGTTTTGTTTCTATTATGGCTTTTTATTACAGTATGACCGTGGTTTCTTGTTTCATATATACTGAAAATATCGAGAAAAATATCAAAATGCAATACCTATATAAAAGTACTATAAACTTTGTGCGTGTGCATTTCTTCGTGTACTATGAAAATGACTAAAATTAAAAGGTCGCGTTGTTTTAAGCTTTTACAACTAACCTTACCTCAAAACAAGACACTTACCAAGTTATTTTCTTCAGTATTTTCCCCTCAAATGCTCAATCTTCAGAAAAAACCACAAAGTTTAAACCACATTTATTTTGCTGTAAAAGCCCGTTTGATTTCTTGCTCTCGTGATATTCGTGGCATTCGTCCGTTTTGCATCCCAGCGGTTCGCAACAACCAATAAAAACACGTTTTCGTGTTGTTCAAATCATTATTTTACCGTCTATTTATAACAATGCTGTTCACGGTTGTTCGAACAACTAAAAACAACTTGTTCTTTCATCAATGTTGTTCACGCTTGTTCGAACAATATTGTTGACGCCTGATGAATGAACAACGCTGAACAACATTGTTCTGACAACATTTATCAAGCATGTTTCATCAACCTTGTCGGACGCTTGTTCCATCATGTTGCAACAACCATTGTTCGTTCATCAAGCGTGAACAAGTTGTTGGAACAATGTTGTTAACGATTGTCGCTTGAACAACGTTGTTCAGCCATGATAACCTCATTGTTGCAACGTTGTTCAGCGAACAATGTTGCAACAACCTGATCAATTTTTACGCGTGTATAAATAAACTGGAAGGCTAACTGCTATGATGAAGGCCTATGATTTGATGAAGCCAAAATAGTTTTTCTGAGTTATGAGCAGAAATACTTGACCCCAAACGTCGGGCTATATATCAAATTAAAGCTATTGAAAATTGCTATTCGGTGTGGAAATTTCAAGACTTCAGCGAAAAGAAAAATATTAAAAGAATACAAAAACAACTGCAAAACGGCAAATTATCGGTAATTATGTTTGTAGTTTTTCGATATTTCCCTTTTAGCTAAAGTCTTGAAATTTCTACACCAAATAGCGTTTTTCAATAGCTTCAATTTGATATATAGCCCAACGTTCAGTCTTGAGTATTTCTGCTCATAACTCAGAAAAACTAAAATGCACTGGCTTCAATTTCCCCCCCTGAGTTAGCCTTCCAGTTTATTTATAGTTCAATGTTTCGAACAAGTCCCCCCCCCCTTCGGTCTCTCCCCGTACCCCTGCTTTTCTCAACTTTTGTCGGCCCCGTTCACGCCTGGAAAAAGTGAAAAGCTGCGAATTAAGATTATTTTTAATAAAATAATTGTTTCTAAAAACTTTTATACATGTTTTAGTGCATTATTACGAATATTTTGCAAGTTTTATATGTGCATTTTTGTCAATTTCTAAGTTTGAAGATGACAAAATATTTTTAACTATCTTCGTTACAAATACAATTAATAATAAATGAATACAGGTTAAATATGAAGATTGTTTGGGCGAATATTCGAACGAAGATTATACACAGTTTGAGACCTACGGCAAACGAAAATGCAATTTTACGGACTGGATTTGAACCTATATACCAGTATATGGCCCTGCGATTTGGCAACTAACTTTGCAAAGCGCTGCACCAGAATCGCAGGGGCTGCAAGTTCAAATCGTATGTATAAATTGTCCTTCGAAAATTCGAGCAACAATTATAATTGCATCAACAATGAATGAATACTATCTAACTAGAATATAACCCACATTGGGATATAATCATAGGCGTACGAGACAGGGGCAAGGGGCAACTGCCCCCCCCCCCCAACTTTAAAAAAACATGGAAATTCGGGGAAATCCTAGGGAAAATAAAAAAAATTCGGGCAAATTTATCGGAAAATATGTCCAATTCTGGTTGTTTCATTACAATTCTCCATCAAAATTCGGGCAAAATTTTAACTGCCCCCCCCCCCCCAGAAAGCCTCACCCTCCGTACGCCAATGGTAATCAATAAATAGAGAGTTTGAGCAAGAGAACGAAGTCGGACGACGACGTGTTGACAATTTTTTCCTGCCTTGAACATTATCTTGCGTATTCTAAGTTTAGGGTCAGGAGTGAAGACAGATTAGAGATTCACGCGTCTAGCTGTTTATCAATGTTGACCCAAATCCTTACCCTGATCAGGATAAAACAGCGAGACATGAATCCATATCCCGTCTTCGTTCTTCTGCCTTCGTTCACAACGAATATTTTGGCAAAATTCGTTGTTAACTTCGTTCCGAACGAAGGCACAAGAACAAAGACGGGATATATAGGTTCATGTCTCGCTGTTTATTCTGGATCAGGGCAAGAATTATGGTCAGTATTCATAAACAACGACACATAGGACACGTTGAGCAAACACCAGTGACGTCCAACACAGTATGCACAAGAGAATGTGCAGACGACAAAAATTGTCAAGTATGCCTTCGTCTTCGTACTTCGTTGTCTTGCTCAAACTCTCTAACAATACATTTATTTAATCTGTGGAATCGACTGAGAATACGAGTAACTGTCCATCTTTTACACCAAGAAAGATATGCGAATCTTCGTCAATTTGCATATTGATTGTACAGATTTTCACTCGAACATCCAAACTTCTATGATTGTCCAAACTATATACAAACATAAAATAACAATTCTACAAAATGTTGTTTAAACGTACGCAACATCTTATGCACTTCTTGAGAAAAATATATTTGCAGGTTGCAAAAGACTGCAACTTGTTTTACAATTACGCGTTTTGAATCTACAGTGCGACTACAATTTTGGGTTTTGTGGTTCATTTTTCAAAAAAACTCGATGGGTGCTAGACTGGTTAGACGCTTCAACTTATTCTGCATCGATGCGACAATTAGAAGCTACAATCTTGGACATAACCCTTGAGACCATTCCTCGCAAAGTTAATGCACATTGACAAAACAAATTTCGTCACCCCTCCAGTTTCAACGTTGTGAAGGATCCTAAAACATCTTTAGGTAGTTAACCATAACACAAGCTCAACCTGGAGTTAGGGAGTGGTAGCATGGGGGGGGGGGTCTAATCGTCCGGCTGTCCATGGTCTCCCGGAAAACGTTTCTATTTTAAGGGTCTGTCAAACGTTTCTAATTCAAGGCCGGTGTAACGGGTGAGGGGGGGGGGGGGGTCAGGACCCTACCCATTCACCGCCGTGGCTACGCCCCTGCTTGGCTAACTGTTCTTAATGCTTTCAAAACACTACCATGCATTCTATCACGGTTAATAGAATAACCGTGATTCTATTTAAGTTAAAATATAGTTGGAACAATCATCAAAGACGTTTTTTGTTAGTAGAGCCCTTCAGTAAAACCCCGCATATAAGAATCTAGATTTTTCCAAGTTAGCCTAAACAGGTTCTTATTTACATGGTGCTTACCAGGAAATTGAGCCAAACAGGTTCTTAATTAGATTCTTATTTTCTTAAGAAAAAAAGCGACTCATTTTCCGGAGGTGAGGTATATAATTTATATAAATTATGTACAAATTATCCAAACAGTCCATGATGCTGGAAAACCTTGCTTTTCCAGTATTTTCACTGAAGAAATACAATTATTTGTTGTCGCGTTCGTATAGACATGTTATTTATCAGAATGACATTTCCAGGGTTCTGGATCATTTTCATTACTTTGTGAAGAGCTTATTTTCTTTGACTTTTGATTCTATTTGATAAAATAACAACCTTTTGCTTTGAAATTCTAGCCTAAACAGGTTCTTATTCAAAAGGGGGTCTGAAAATTTTTTTATAGCCTAACAGGTTCTTAAATTCTACCTTCTTATATGCGGGGTTTCACTGTATGTAGAAATCTTACCTATGCAGGTGTTTGACGGATAACGTTCCAGTTGCAGTCCCCATTAACACATAATTATCCCTCACTATCAACGCAGTCACCTCATCTTTGATATGAATGCATTTTAACATCTTGCCATTCACAGAAAATTTGTGGACACGAGACATTTTGTTTTCCTCCCACGTAGAGAAAATGATATCTCCAAACTTTGAGAGAGCAAGGTTTCTTAATTTTGGCAATTCAACTTGAGAAGAAGGCGAGAAGTTGAGCATGCGAACAAAATGTCCTTTCCTCACAGTATGTACAATACATCGACCTGCCTGAGATTGTAACATGAAATTGAGAGGTTTTAGTTAGCATTTACACGGGGCTATAGGTAGTGGTCAGCTTCTGAAATATTGACACTTAAACTAGATCTCTGCACTCTACTGATTCGCCACGAGATAGAAAACTATCACATGTAAAGAAAATTAACATTATTCTCTCACAGTGGTGTATATACAGGGTGTATAAAAAAAAACTGAACAGATTTGAAATTGCTCTCAATTTCGCAAAACACCTATTTGTATCAGTCTTTTATATATATAGCTTCTTTGGGTACTTATAATGTAGAATAATGAAAAAAATTTGTCGAACTCAAATTTTGTGAACCAGGGGGGTGTGTCTTTTCCAACAAACTAAAAATGGCTCGCGCACAAAATTTAAAAGTTGTAATCATATTTTGAGTTAATAGATGGAAAATTTGTCGGGTTTTTAATTACTGTACAAAATTTCAGGCAATTTGGTTAAGTTTAAGCCCTTTAACTATTCACGCAAAGTTACATTTTTCCTAAAAATCAGCTATTTGCATGCTTAATTAATGCCTTTGCCTAATTTGCATATGTCAGCAATATGCAAATTAGGTAGAGGCATTAATTAAGCATGCGAAAGGCTGATTTTTTAGAATAAAATGAATAGTTAAAGGCCTTAAACTAAACCAAATTGTCTGAAATTTTGTACAGTAATTAAAAACCCGACAAAGTTTCCATCTATTAACTCAAAATATGATTACAACTTTTAAATTTTGTGCGCGAGCCATTTTTAATTTGTTGGAAAAGACACACCCCCCTGGTTCACAAAATTTGAGTTTGAGAAATTTTTTTCATTATTCTACATTATAAGTACCCAAAGAAGCTATATATATAAAAAACCGGATACAAATAGGTATTTTGCGAAATTGAGAGCTATTTCAAATCTGTTCAGTTTTTTTTATACACCCTGTAGTATGTATGTGTGTATGTGTACATGTACCAGGGGCTGGTTGTTCAAAGGTGGGTTAGCGCTAATATTAGAATGTTAGGGTTTGGAATCCAAGTGAGAATATATACATTTTAAGACCTAACCAGGAACGACTGCGAAAAATGCAGCACAAGGTCCTCTGGTAGGAATCGAACCTACAAACCTAGGGCCGTAGGTTCGATTCCTACCAGAGGACCTTGTGCTGCATTTTTCGCAGTCGTTCCTGGTTAGGTCTTAAAATGTATATATTCTCACTTGGATTCCAAACCCTAACATTCTAATATTAATTCCACCAAGTGAAGTGCAGAATCTAAGTCAAGGGTTAGCGCTAACCCAGGGTTAAAATTTAACCTGCTCTTTTAGTTTGTGTATTTATTATTATTATTATTATAGAAAGATTACACATTGAATAGCTACAGTAGGTAACTAAATTAGAACGCGCATTACATATATATATATATATATATAGAAAATATACATTAATTACTAAACTATCTACATTAGGTATTATAAAAGTTTCAAATGAGATATTTATATTAAAAAAAGAGAGTTATTAACAAAGGTTCAAATGGCGAAACAAATGGACTGATCCAAAAACTATCACTACGTGTTAAAAATGTTTCGATAAAAATATATAAAGTTATATTATATATTATGTTATAACATAGAGTTATTATAGAGTTCAATTGACGAAACGATTGGACTGTTCCGAAAACGTTCTGTTCTGTAGTGGTAATTGTAAAACAATTGACCATTCTGACGTGTAACCCTTTGCCGTACCTTGCAAAGTTTATTAGGAAGAAGATGGTGCAGTTTGTGATGCGGGTCAGACATTTACTGATAAGATCAATGCACATAGTATTGCGACGTTGTTCAAGCGTATGCATTCCAGCTTTCAACAATAACTTTTCGTAATCTTTTTCGGAATAAATTATTCTCAAAGCCCTTCTTTGTACTTTCTCAATACTGCTGCTCTGTGCTTTAGTAAGGCCCCCATGCCAGACTTGCGCTCCATATTCAAGTGTCGGCCTGATGGCAGAGATGTAAAACCGTTTCATATCAATCTTGTCAGCACCGTACTTCTTTAAAGTTTTTAATAAAAAGAGTCGCTTAACTGCTTTCCCTATTATATAATCAGTATTAGTTTTCCACTTTAAATTATCGTCAATCCATAAGCCCAATAGTTTGAAAGTTGAAGCCCTTTCCAACGTTGTATCATTGAATGTTAGTGGTGGAATAACTGTTTTGTTCTGACGGAAATCTAACTGCATTTCCTTACATTTTTTCAGGTTCAACTCCATTTTTTGAGATGTGGCAAAATCCATAACTTTCATAATATTATTGTTTCATAATATTATTGTTCAGTTTTGAACCGAGATTTTCCGAAGTTGACAAGTCTCTCTTTCTCGCTCTGCGTCTCCGTGCTATATCATGTAATGTACACTATAGTGGATCGATATGACAATGAAAGAGAGACTTGGAGCAAGTCTAGTAGGTGCACGGCGCTTGATTTGCAGGTCAATCAACTTTCGACGTCACGAGGCCCAAGGCCTCTAGCTCCTCCTCCTAGGAGGAGGAGCTAGAGGCCTTGCTCCACATCAACACAATATCCCAAAATAAAAACCTAAATCAGAAACAGAAGGTGTAGCCTTACTATTACACTATTTATATGTGAATTGAAATTTGGGCAGGGATGATATAGTGTCGGCATGAGGAAAACATGATAATACATCGAAAACTGATGTAGGGGCAAGACCACTAGAAAAGTGATGGGGCAGGGGTGGTGGTGGTGGTTGGGGGGGGGGGGG